GTGGAAGAGGAGGAATGATGTCTTCAGCCTTCATGGGGAAATAACGCCTATTCATAATTAATTATTGTTGAGATAACTAACCATTATGGTGGGATAGATGATGGACCACCTTCATTACTATTTTTTTTTTTTTTTTTTTGGTGGAAGGGAGGGACCAAGGTCCCGGAAATTAGTGAATTCTACTAGAAGAGACGCCCAGCACGTCGTGATCCAATAGGTTCATTACATTTTATTATGATAATGGATTGATTTTCATGGCTATTGGCATAAGATAATGACCGTTCATGGATAATTATGTCCTTAGTCCATAACAATCCGCAATAATTCTTCAACATATAGTTTGACGATAATAATTCTTCTAATTAACAATTAGTCTTGACCAGGTTAATCTTGTGATCAAATTGTTAATTCATCATCCGAGTCAGTGTTGTTTTTGGGTCTATATGTGTGACGTTCTACCTAAACCTTCAGTCATTCTACCATTTTTTTTTTACATTGTGAGTAATCAACATTGCGATCAAATTTGTATTTTATTTTAGGGTTTACATGGGATCATCCCTAATAAAATCAACAGTAATAGTTTGGATTCAAATTAAATGTGGAAGTGTCATGAAAATGGAAATCAAAGATAATATCACAAAAAGTTAGTCGTCCACAAAAAAAAAAAAAAAAAAAAAAAAAAAAAAAAAAAAAAAAAAACAAAACAAAAAAAAAACAAAAAAAAAAAGAGGATAAAGTTATATGATACTATGTCGGAACGTTTAATGAATAATTGTGCTCAGTTTGTTGTTTAGTTTCTTTTAAGAGTAATTAGCATAACTTAGACAAGTGTACAATTCAATGTTGCCAAACTTTCCAGTACTTGGGTAAAATAGAGCCCCACAGGCCACAGCCACAACATTTGTGACAACCTTGAGGTACAAATTAATTAAGAATCTTGATTATTAAATAATTAAAACGGATTTACGAATTGATACAACCTCATATTAAAATAGATATTTATTTCAAGTGGGTACGGACTCCAATAAAGAATGACAAAGAGAGAAAGAGAGAGTAACTAGAGAGAAAAAAAGTAGAGATAAAGATAATGGTACAATTCCTTCGGAGGTATGAGGGGGTCGGTCAATTCACAATAACTAATAAATAAATAAATAAAATTAATTTATTACAATGTTAAGAAGTGAATATGAATTCGGAAGGGGAAATTAAGAGGGAAAAATAGCATTATATATTTGAAGAAGAATATACTGAGATGGATATTGATATTTCAAGAAACTCTGATTTTTAACCTATCAATTTTGACAAATTTTTTATGAATTCAAAAAAAAAAAAAAAAAAAAAAAAAAAAAAAAACGTTCCTAAGCATTGCACCTGGCCTAATCCTAAACTGTCCATGCAAAGTGCTAGTTGTTATTGAAGCGAAATTATTAACTATGGAACAACTTCAATTAAATTAATTAGTCAGATAGTTTGATTTGGAAACAACAAGGTTTCAAGTTTATCTCTCTGTAGAGAATATTTATCGACTTTTTTGGTTTGAGCGAATTAATTATAGGCAATTTATGTTGATTTATCTCTTTGTAATCATTTATCGACTAAAATTACAAAATAAACTTTACCTAAAATGCACTTTTAATTTGCAATTGCGGATTTTCGCATAAATCAAATAAACTATTAATTCTTTTTTACTAGCTGAGCTATGCCAGTCAACAACAATAATCTTAGAACATCGATATCAATTGAGGTTTTTTTCCCAGTTTTTTATGGACCCCAATATCCATTTGGTCATCTATCCACTATCTCATAAAAACCTTTCTCCTTATTAGTTTTAGGTTTTTTCTCAATTTTTTATGGACCCACCATTATACTCCACTATATTTTAATTATTTCTTTATTTAATATCATTATAAAATTATAATTACAATTAATATTTTTTATTATATTTAAATTAAACATGTCAAAATTAAAATAAATTTATAATTATAAATTTTCAATTCTAATAATATGGCATCCAAATTATATACTACATTTATATTGCATAAATTTTTGTTCAAACTTAAATAATTTAACAACAAAATTAAACAAGAAAAACAAATATATATATATATATATATATATATATATATATATATATATATATATATATATAAACTAAAAAAAAAAAACTTAATAGCAAAATTTAAAAAATATTTTAAAAATGAATAAATAAATAAAGTGATTGGTAGCAACGGCCAAAAAGATTAAAAAATAAAAAATAAAACTAGGCGGCCACATGCACCCGCTGGGGCAGCCGTGCGTTCAAGCGTGTGGTTTCTTTTCTTTTCTTTTTTCTCTGACAAAATGTTCTACTTACAGGATCGGCGAAAAAACTACTCAAAATCTTCCTCTCTCATCAGCTAAAATTCATAGTCAATTTTCTATATTCTGCAAAAATTAAGAAAAAATCGCAAATATGAATGCTCTTTTAAGTATGCTTGCCTAACCATTTAGGTATGTTTATTAGGTTAGAAAATATAAAATACCCGTAAAAACTAAAAAGTTATGAGTTTCTGGACGTTTAGCCGCCTTGGTGGTATGTGAATTTAATGTAATAAATTCAAATGAAAATTTTGTCGGAAATGTAAAACATGTTGGCAGACAATTTTTGACCTCCAAATATTGGAAATTTGGCCGTCAAAATGCTATACATTTTGGAGTAATGTTACATTTTTTTCTTTTAAATTTATGTCTTAATATTTATCTTCTGATATAATATTATTTAATTAATTTTCTATACTTGATTGCCAATAAGTGTTTTTTTTTTTTTAACGAGTGATTGAGTCGGTAAATTGTCATATGAGTAATGTATGTTACGTTGTTAACAAATAAATTAGTGACAAAAATAACAGTTTTCTATATTTTGGAAAAAAAAAAAAAAAAAGTTACCTTTGCGCTAACACCACGGTATACAATTTTTATTATTATTATTATTATTTTTAGGGTTAGACCACGAAGTGTCTTGAACCGACCCTTAACTGTAGGAGACACCTTTAAACCTGTATCATATTCAGACTAATTTCCGTTCGCACTGGGTCAGTCCAATTAAGGAGCAATGTGCTAGGCATATTAATTTTTTCCATACAAGAGGTGGTTCGAACTCCCAACCTCTCTTAAAGGACAAAAGTGCACGGTCACTCACGCCAACCAAACTGATTAAATAGTAAAAACAATATTTTGTCACCATTACTCGGAATAGTAAATCCGTTTATACATTTTTCGCAAACAAGAGTGGACTAAATTTTTTTTGTCTAAGTATGACGTGTTTGAAAAAAATTTATTCTAGGTTTTTAAGAGCATGCACATCAATGCATTTTTACACAATTTTTAAGATTGAAAAGTCTATTTTCAACCACCCTAAAATTAAAAGGTGAATTTTTAACTATTTTTGAGAGTTTTTTATATAAATATTATCTAATTGTATTATTAATTTATAGAAATAAAACAATTGCCATGATTTCGATTATTCAAGAAAAAATACCAACAATGGAGGATCACCTAAAATTTAAATATATATGACTTTTCAAAATGAATCATACACCGTACCCCTCTTAATTAAATTCGTCCCACTTGATTTTTTTAATACAATTTACATCTTCTATATAATTTATAAACTATTACATAAAAATGAATTTATCTAATATATATCTCGAATATGTAATTACAATTTTTTCTCATTATTCCCAAACAAATGAACAATACACTTCAACCTATGCTAGCTTGTTTCACATGAAAAGGCATGACATCTACTTTTTTTCTGCATCCCCAAAAAGTTGTTAAAAATAAAATAATATATATAATATAAAGGTAAATTATATTAAAATTAACCTACCATTGTCATAGCTAGGCTAGCTAGCTATCTACTTGACTACTTGCAGTTAGACGTGACTCATAGCTAAAACACATGTTTTTGTATCCAATTATAAAATTATAATATTTTAACTCGAAATACTAACATCACACTATTAATCACAATCTATCTTAGATGTATCAAAATAATAATAATAATATTTTGACTCAAGACTCATTAGTATAGATAATATTAAGAATTTAATTATCAATTGTGATCTCTTATAAGTATCTTGTCTCATTGTTTGTAAGTAATTTTATACATAGACTCATTAAAATTTTGACTCTAGTTTACTTTTATTTTTTGACTCATTATGTGTGATCTCTTAAAAAGTATACTCCCAAAAATACTCCCAAAATTTTTTACTCTAGTTTATTAATTTTTTATTATTTGAGTGTATAGTTTGTAAATGTGTGATCTCTTATAGCTTGTAATATTTTGACTCTAGTTTATTTTTATTTTTTGAATTTAAAATTTAAAAAAAAAAAAGAGTTCTATTCACAGAAGGATTTTATCAAAATTATTAAATAATTAAAATTTTGAAATATTCAATTCTTTTTCATTTCTGTACTCATTTTCTGAAAAATAAACCAAACACACAAACATTGAAAATGAAAATGTTTTCTGAAAAATGACTCATTTTCTATAAAACATACAGAAGTCATTTTCCTGCTTTCTTGAAGCCTTTCAGACCAATAACCTAAACAAGATTATCGTGGAGAAATGGACGTAACTCGATTATCCGAAGGTGGTGCCTCGTGGACAACAGGACGAGACAGAAAAAACGTGATTAGTGATGATCGTTGTTGTTAAGGTAATGATATTATGATTTGTTGTATGTATACATTTTAAGGTTTAATCATCGTTAGTTAAACGATGATGTTCCTGTTTCTCTCTCTCTCTATCTCTTTCCCTCTCTCACTCATCAAATCACTTCTCTTACGTAATCTCTTTTTAGCTGTCAATCATTCACCACTGAGCGCCTCTATCATCTATATATACCCTTCACCACCTTCCCTTTCCTTATCTTCCCCACTCACAATTCCAACTTCATATATATATATATATATATATATATATATATATATATATATATATATATATATATATATACACACTTCTCTCTCCCTCTTCCATCTCCACTGCTATATAATTCTCCCCGGCCCAATCTCATCCGTCCATTCTCTCTGCAACAATATCCTGTCCGTCCGTCCGTCCGTCCCTCTGTTCATCTCTCAACATCGCAAGCCATCCATTCCAGTTTTCTTGATTAATTGGAGGAATTGAAGCTCTAGCAACAATGGCTTGCTTAAACATCTCCAAAATGGTAAGTTCTAGCCATCCTTTTTTATTTTATTTTTTTAATTAGGACAAGAAAAACTCGCAATCAGTATCTAGACGGTACTATACTTTCTTTCTTTCTTAACCACAATGGTGTTGCTTTCTTTGGTACTATTTTCTCTGATAATATCATCTATGAATAGGGAGATTTTATGATCCCACCAGCTACAATCTTGTATGTTTTGTGAAATTGTACTCCATGCTTTGTTAGGCACAAGCATGATAAAAGTACAACTTGTAAAGTGTAAGGTACAACTTCACAAAACACACGATATTATAAAATTATATATATGCATCGAATTCAATGATAGAATAATTCTCTATGATAATCTTACAGGTTACATACAATGTTGTATTATTTGTAAAATTATATTTAATAGTTCTCTAGATACAGAGAGTGAGAGTATAACCTGTAAAGCGTAAGGTACAATTTTACAAAGCACACGATATTATGATCCCACAGGTTATAATATTGTTTTATGTTTTTGTAGAAGCACACGGGGTTAGAATACACCTTGTAAAGCATACAGTACAACTCTACAAAGTACAGGACATTATAAAATTATATCTATGTGTCAAATTCATCACATAATAGTGTTGTGATAAGGTGCATGTATCAGCTAGCGACAGCTAGCATGGATTTCAACAAATAAGGAAGAAGTTTATAAGTACTGTTCATATGGGCTTTGATTTTCAAATTTTAATCGTCCGAGAAAGAAATAGGTTGTTTCACGGGAGTATGATGTTAGAGATGGCGTATTGAGTGTACGTGTTTGCAAATTAGAAAATTGTTTTTTTTTTTTTTAAATACTATTCGATAAGGTATGAAATTCTACGAGTTCTTATCTATAGATCGATCAAATAACATATCAATATATTATATTATTGTTTTAATACTAGCTAACAAATTTTTCTCGTCATGCGATTTATGTGGAAAGTGAGATTCTTGACACCTATCGATCTTGACAAAATAATCATTTAATTTTTTTGTAATTTAAAAGACACTGAACGTTTGTAAATGAAAACTCACGTATCTCATGATGTAACACACAATTCTCCCGTTAAATAGGGAAAACCAACTTATACACGGCAAGTTAACAATCGCCGGACGCATTGCGGAAATAGACACAATTGAACTACAATCATGTGCATACAATCTATGTGTTTTTTACATTGGTTTTGCCATTTCCCCATTTTAAGGTAAATTTTGAGAGATTTGGTGTTGTTAACCACTTTGATTTATAACAAAATTTATCACTCTTATTTGAATGTGCGTTATGGGTTAAATACGATTTGTGATACTAATTCACCAAGAAGGTTAATAGGTGACTTTACAAGGAGTTGAACTTAAGACCTTGTGGTTATTGAGCAAATTGTCTGATCAACTCGATTGAGATGATTAACAACTACACCTATAAACAATTTGCATACATTTATGTAGTGGAGTTAAAAAAGTATTTGATAAGATATACTACCTTGTAAAGAATAATGAGTATTTCAAAAAAAAATTTACATAAAATTTTAAAATTTCATTTCAAAAGGTACATATTAATTAAATAAAATATGTTCTTTTAGGATCCACGGGAGGAGAACGTTGGGCGAGGGGAGTGCACCCTTGACGGAAGTATTGATAAGCACGGCCGACCGGCTGTCCGAGCAACCACCGGAGGATGGGTTTCCGGCGTGCTTTTGCTAGGTAAACCACGTTTTAATCTATTTTTGAAAAAAAAATTGTAATAAAATCATAATATAATTGTTAATTCTAATATTCTATTAAGAGATTGATTTAAAACCAGCTTTATTATATTTTGTTTTGATTTGAAATTTATATGTTATATTACAGTGAACCAAGGATTAGCTACGCTGGCATTTTTTGGTGTGGGGGTAAATCTGGTATTGTTCCTAACAAGAGTGATGGGGCAAGACAACGCTGAGGCGGCTAACAACGTTAGCAAATGGACTGGCACTGTTTATATCTTCTCCCTTCTTGGAGCCTTCCTTAGTGATTCCTATTGGGGGAGATACAAAACTTGTGCCATCTTCCAGGGCATTTATGTCATTGTGAGTCACCCTTCTCCAAATTTCTTGAATTATATATTCTAGAATTTTCATAGTGCAATTGATGAAATGGGTCGGATCAAGTTATCATTGCTTAAATTTAAGCAAATAATTACTCAATTACCCGTGCAATGTTCTGATGTTGTTGGATGATCTATGGGTGCAGGGGTTAGTGTCACTCTCCATATGTTCACAAATTTTCCTAGTCCGACCAAAGGGCTGCGGCGACAAGAACAGCAAATGCGGCGACCACTCGACGCTCCATGTCGTGCTGTTCTACGTGTCGATCTACCTAGTGGCGCTGGGGAACGGCGGCTACCAGCCCAACGTGGCGACGTTCGGCGCCGACCAGTTCGACGAGGATCACCCGAAAGAGAGCCACTCCAAGGTGGCCTTCTTCAGCTACTTCTACTTGGCCTTGAATCTCGGGTCTCTGTTTTCCAACACGGTTCTTGTTTACTTCGAAGACAAGGCCATGTGGGCGTTGGGGTTTTGGGCCTCCGCCGGCTCCGCGTTCTCGGCTTTGGTGTTGTTCCTCGTTGGGACGCCGAGGTACCGGCATTTCACGCCCAAAGGGAACCCTCTGTCGAGGTTTTGCCAGGTGGTGGTGGCGGCTGCTAGGAAATGGAAGGTGCAGCTGCCTTGTGATGCGGATGAGCTCCATGAAGTTGATGGGGAAAATGGCACCAGAAAATTGCTCCACACTGATGGATTTGAGTAAGTTTTATCACAAATAATTTTGTAATGTGCTCTTATGTTCTTAAATTAGTATAGTATAATAATCAATTTTAATTTCTGGGTAATTGGTGAAGTGACGATTTTGTCTCAAACATTCAATTAGTTCTTGAGTGATAGATTGTGAACAGATAGTTCTTGAATTAAGTGGTAGATTGTGGATAATGACACATGATCAAACATAATAATAAGAGTTATATCGTACCTAATGTGGTAGGTTCTTTATCCACACCAGCCAAATAGGAATATCACGAGAACCTTGCCCTAAACGGGACAAGTCTGCCTCTAACCCAACCAAAGCCAGGTCCTAATGATCAAAAAGGTCCAAACGCCCATAAGTGACATAGTCCAGAAGGCAGAAGCGATGCCCGTAAAAAAGAGATGCCCGAATCACACTTAATGAATCATTGAGTCATCATGATTTACCCCGGTCCTATATTATCATGTTGGGCCGGGTGTAAGTTTTACCTTTAATTTACGAAAATACCCTTGGTCATATAGGAATTTTTACTAGACCTACCTAACAGTAATCTTTGTGAGAAACGGTCACTTTCTAGAATGATTTCCATGTTGAACATATAAATAATATATAAACATAAATATGTCATTTAATTAACTTAATTTTTTAGTTGAAAAGAAACTAACACATCCTTCAATTTAGTATTAAAGTGAATTCATAACTCGTGCATGTGAAAGACATCTTAAGCATATATATATATATATATATATATATATATATATATATATATAACTTCTAGATTAAAACTGCAATTTTCTTTATAATATAATCGAATTTCATCTGACATGGAACGCTTAATACAGACTTTTGGATAAGGCAGCAGTGGTTGTACCAAAGCAGAAGGCAAGCTTAGCCGGAGAAGAAGGTGGATACAATCCATGGCTTCTCTGCACCGTGACTCAAGTGGAAGAAGTGAAATGCATATTAAGGCTGCTTCCAATTTGGCTATGCACGATCCTATACTCCGTGGTCTTCACCCAAATGGCCTCCCTGTTCGTCGAGCAAGGCGCCGCCATGAAAACCGACGTCTCCGGCTTCCACATCCCGGCGGCCAGCATGTCCAGCTTCGACATCCTCAGCGTCGCCGCCTTCATCTTCATCTACCGCCGCCTCCTCGACCCCTTCGTCGCCAGCCTAAAGAAGTCCGCCGGCGCCCGCGGCCTGACGGAGCTGCAGCGCATGGGCGTCGGCCTGATCATCGCCATCATGGCGATGGTCGCCGCCGGCACGGTGGAGCACTTCCGGCTAAAATACGCCGACATAGACTGCCCCCACTGCGCCAACTCCAGCTCACTCAGCATCTTCTGGCAGGTCCCGCAGTACATGCTGATCGGAGCCTCCGAGGTCTTCATGTACGTCGGACAACTCGAATTCTTCAACGCCCAGACGCCGGACGGGCTGAAGAGCTTCGGCAGCGCCCTCTGCATGACGTCAATCTCGCTGGGGAATTACGTCAGCAGCTTGCTCGTCAGCATTGTGATGAAAATCTCCACCACGGATTCCATCCCGGGATGGATCCCCGGCAACCTTAACAGGGGCCATTTGGACCGGTTTTACTTCCTCTTAGCCGCCCTCACGGCGGCGGACTTCGCCGTCTACATCGCCTGCGCCAAGTGGTACAAGTACATCGAGTTCGAAGACAGGATTGATCAAAGCAATAACAATGTTGAGGCGGCAGATTTCAAAGTCTAGTAATTTATCAGTGTTACTTTTTGATAGAGCAAAATATGGAGTAGAAGGAAGATTATATAATATATTAATATATATATATATATATACACACACATATATATTAAGTGAATATATGTATATGTATATACATACATACAGTGCAAGGAAGCTAGAGGAGTTTTGTACCTTCTCAGAGCAGAGCATGTATACTAAGATACCTTAACAAAGCTAGCTAGCTGTTGTTTAGAAGATGACTAGCTAACATATCCTCATCCTCCTCACATCTTATGTATTTTTGTTATTTTCTTCTTGTTTAAAGCTTTATGATTGATTTGGTGACAAATAATATAATATATACTCTCACTTTTTTTCTTAAGGATCTCATCTAACTGATTTTAAAAAAGGGTGTTCTATTTGTACCATCTAGTGAAAAGTAGGTGCAAATCACATTGGAATTGTAAAAATGACAAGAATTTAATAATTTTGTAGGTGATGTAGATAGCTATAAGGGTGTTCATATTGCTATGAGTGTACCACCCTATAGTGAAAAGTAGGTGTAAATCACATTGAAGTTGTAAAAATGACAAAAAATTCAATAATTTTATAAGTGGTGATGGATTTAATTAACCCGGGGTGGACCCGAATCAATAAATTCGGATAAGAACGTAATATAAAATAAATAGACAAGCAATACGATGTCGTAAGGCCGTGAAGACCATAGATTGTATTGCGATAATAGTTGGGCTATCAGAATGATAGTTTAGGATCAAGTGTGTAAGAAAATGATTAGGTGTTCCTTGTGTAGGACGAGGTGAGGGGTTTTTATATGCAACAAACCCCCAACCACTCCCCCAAAACGGGGGTGATTGGATCTGGCACTTTCACCGCGTCCTAGCTCAAGGCCGGGTCCAAAGGGCGCCCGCGCCCCCCCTAAAACCCCAAGCTCGGCCTGATCGAGCTTGTTAGGGGGCGGCTCGGCCTAGCTAAGCCCTTTGAGGCTCGAGCTCGGCCTGGCAGAGCTCATTATGGCCTGAGCCCGGCCTATGGCCGTGCTCCTTGGGCCGAGGTGACCACGGCCTAAGTGGCTTGGGAGAAGTGGCTTAGGCCGAGGTATCCCGGGTCCGTCGCCTTGGATCGGTTCGCTCCAAGCATAATATATCCATCAGGTGGTGTAAATAGCAATAAGACAAAAAATTAAACATGTTTGGCCCAGGTCGCCTTCTACCCAAGTATAGTTTTAGTTTTTATATTTTTGCTTATTACTTTTCTTTCATCGCTACACGTAACACTGCTCATGTAAAAATCCAAGTACTTCTTTCTACATCACCACAAGAAACTTTGACTTTTACTTTGATTTACGGAAAAACTTGCAACTATTAGTACTTGAATATACACTTTAGGTGAAGTTCGTCTTATGATGACCTTAATTGAAAAATGACCACAAAGAGGTAATATGCATAATGAGTGAAGTTCATTTTGTGACTATATAAAAGATGATAACAAAGAGATAATATATATGCATTTTGGTTGAAGCTCGCTTTGTAATCCTAACCCTAATAAGTGTTAGTTGATTATTAAATTAAAAACATAATGACCCTGTTTGGTAAAAAATTGGCCTATAGGCCAATTCTGATTATTTGATCACTATTAATTGTTTGATTTAGTTAAAATATCAATATAAATGTTTGGTTAATTAGCTTTTTGCAACTCTAAAAGGCTAAAATTAAAAAAGCTACTCCTAACAACTTTTTCAATTAGCTTTTTGAGAAAAGAAATTATATCAAATAGCTATCAGCAAACAGTTAATTTACCAAACACTTTTCTACAATCAGCTAATGTTATCAACTATTTATACTCTCTAATTAACACAATCAGCTAACAGCAAACAGCTATCAGCTAACAGCCATTTTACCAAACAGTGCCAATATGAGTTGAATTAAATCATGTGTGATGTGAAATATATAACTTTCTTAATTCTTATGGGGCTAAATGTGAAATACCACAAATTCAAGGGATCGGTCAAAGGAAGACCTTTATATTTTTGCGACAATTTCCCTTATCTCTGTTCTCTTCTCGAGATCAAAACAACAACCGCGAACTCACCCAACTCGCTCCTCCGACTCAGCCATGTGGAGAAGCTCGCTGAGTTTATCATCGAAACTCGTCCATACATCCAACTCCAACCCATCTATCCTTCTCCTTCGTGCTCCCCTATCTCACCATGGACTTCTGAGCCGATCCACGTCGTCGGCCGCCGGGTCAGAGTCAACCTCGCCTGCCGATTCGGTGAAACTAGGGCTTTCGTCTTCCTCGTGGGCTCGGGACGGGCCTTCTTCATCGGCCGTCGACTTGTCGTCGTTCGCGGCTGCATCGGTTTTGAAGAGTAGGGAGGTGGTCGACTTGGCTAAGCACTACGGGCGCTGTTACTGGGAGCTCTCTAAAGCTCGGCTTAGGTTGAGTATTGTGCTAGTTATTTTAAATTTATCAATTTTAGTTCGTCTCTAATCCTTGATTTATTCTGTTTGTCATTTTGGATCTTATTTTTGACTGAATTAATTGGATATTACATTGAAAAGATCTCCTGTTTATTTGTCTTACCGGATTTAATTAGTACTTCTCAGTGATCATCTTCATCAATTTAGGCTAGACACGTCCAAATGGGTATTGGACAAATGCAGATTGATGCAAAACCAGAATTTCCTTTTAAATAGGGTGGATAATTTATTCATTGATCGATATGGATTGAATGTTGCAAAGTCTTTACTTATCATGCCAGTTTGGAGGTGAAGTGTTTGCCTCTGATAATTTTATACCATGTTTTCTGCATTGTTACAGCATGTTAGTGGTTGCAACGTCTGGCACTGGATATGTTCTTGGGAGTGGCAGTGCGATTGATTATGTCGGCCTTTGGGCCACGTGTGCAGGCACTATGATGGTTGCAGCGTCTGCAAACTCCCTAAATCAGGTTAGTAAAGGAATCTGTAGCTATATACTTCTATTTAAAAGAATAGTGTCACCTTCTTTTTAGAAAGAAGAGTGTGGAGAATATGGCCATAATGATGAAAATCTTATGTTTATTATGTCAAAGATGAACTTGTCATTTACTGGTCCTTGTTATGCCGCTAGTGCTGTATAGATTGAGTTATATGTGTTTGTAGGTGTTTGAGATTAAAAATGATGCAAGAATGAAGAGAACCATGCATAGGCCACTTCCTTCAGGTCGCATTAGTGCACCTCATGCTGTTGCCTGGGCATCCACTGCTGCTATAGCTGGCACTGCTCTGTTGGCTTGCAAGGTGACCGTACACTCTCAGCTACTTGTTTATGGTGTCTGGTTTCTTTTAACATTTACACTATTATTTTGAGTGACTGATGTTGCTATACATATGCTAAGGTTTTTACAGGCGAACATGTTGGCAGCTGGCCTTGCTGCTTCTAATCTTGTTCTTTATGCATTTGTATACACTCCACTGAAGCAGATACATCCCATCAACACATGGGTTGGTGCTATTGTCGGTGCTATCCCACCACTTCTTGGGTAATGTTTTACTTTGTTGCCCCAGGTTGACATAAAGTACATTCTTTTTTGAATCATTTTATGTGAATATATTTCATTTCTCTGGACAAATGCTTGGTTTTTTATCCTCATTGAAATGATGTGGCAATCTTCCATTTAGGATGTATATCAGTGTGTGCCAATTTATAATTCCTTTGACTTGTCTAATAATTACCTGCTACCTGTATATCAACTCACATTCATCTGGTAATATAGGTATTTTCATATGTGAACATGTGTGTGATATTCCTTAAAACTGAGGAATTGAAAGGGTTTGTCACCCAACAGAGTGATGGAAGCTTTTATATTTAAGAAAACTAGAGAAAGATGTATATTAATTATAATGATAATAGTTTAATACTCGAACTGATGCACGAGTGATGAAATGATTATATACATACATCATGGGCCAAAACTAGAGCTATAATAGGGATATCATATACAAACAATATTTGTGTGTTATGTTTAGAATGAAGGCATTATCAGTTTGTATAATGTATAATTAACCATGGAGCATATGTATTCAGGGTATTAGTAGTAGAATGGATGAACCTATAGTTCCAACTTTGTTTCTCTTTTGTAATTTGTAAATGTGTGATGCTGCTGGAAACTCTCAATTCTCTTTATCTTTTTTGTTTGTTTGTTTAAATAGTAGAAGAGGTCAGAGGGAGAAGACTAACTTTACATTAGATACATATGGGAAGTTGGGAACTATTATGAGACCCACCCATAAACTATAAGCATCATTTTAATAGAACTGATCAATGTATATTTCACTCTGGATCTGCCTTTGATGCTTTGTGCTAAGTTGCTAACAGTACTTTCCCATCATCAGGTGGGCTGCAGCATCTGGTCAGGTGTCGCTAAATTCCATGATTCTCCCGGCTGCTCTATATTTTTGGCAAATACCCCATTTCATGGCCTTAGCATACTTGTGCCGCAAGGATTATGCAGATGGAGGGTATAAGCGTGTGCTCTTAATTTTAAATTTATTTGATGAGATACTAGCTTGTGGAAACAACTATTAATATTTTTGCTTCCTTGATAAATCTTGAGGGCGTAGGATTGAAGTTATTCAATCACCTTCTATTTTAGGGTCTTTCTCACTTCACTTATGTTATCTTGTTTTGCTGTGAACTTAGGTTTAGGATGTTTTCCCTGGCTGATGCTTCTGGTCTGAGAACAGCTTCAGTGTCCTTAAGGAATTGCCTGTATTTACTTCCACTTGGTTATCTAGCCTATGATTGTGAGTCAATTTCTTTTACCTCTTATCTGAGTATTTTCTGGTTAGTTTTCTCTTTTTGTCTCTTTGGTGAAATATTTAATCAATTAGATTGTGAACTACTTAATAGCTCAACGTTGGCTACTTTTATGTTTCGAGTACCAGATTTTGCTAGGAGTTTTGAATTTGTCACAATTCAATGGTATCGGTTATTCAGTATCTCTTTGATCCATCCTTGTTTTGAAAATTGAACGCATTCTGATTTTTATTTTTATTTTTTGGAGTTTTTTTCTGCGTGTATAATAATCATTGCATTAGATTAGTTTTTCAAGAAGAGAACAAGAGGGTGAGTAATAATAACGTAGAAAGGAAAAGATTGAGTATGCCTTTCTGATTTTGTTATTTTAACTATACCTAATTCTTTATATCGGGAAGGAAAATATAAAGCGTCATAATTTGCTTTGTTTACTTTAATTTTCCAGTTTTGTTTTTAGTTTTTCATTTCTCCATTCGCCTGTTTCCCAATTGGAGAAAGTTACAATTAAACGAAT